TTACCTTGCAATAATATTCCTCCCATTCCTCACTGAGCCACTCAATATTTGTATACTATGATGATATTGTTGTCAGAAAACTGACCAGGTTGATGGTTGTACAACATCACAGAAGAAATACATATCTTAGAAAATTTCATGTACTTAAAAATGTAAAATCAATGCTGCAATTCTACAAAGGAAAAAAATCACTGTACATGTACCGGGTACATGTACGTGTACTTGTATGAAGGAAATTATTATAATCAGAAGTGCATGCATTAATTACATGTAAATTAATGATACAATAAAGATAACTGTCTGCATACATGTAATATGAATAAATGTACATACATGTTTATCAAATATAACAAATACAAAATTCAAAGCATACGGGACCGATGACTTACACTAAGCATTGTGTGGTAAGGAAACTGTTGTGTGCTTTTTTTAAGTATTTAAGAAATTATTTAAAGAACCATCCCTGTTTATAATACAATTGACAGTACTATTGATATCATTATATTACTCTCTCTATATAGTGACATTTAGATCAATAGTCTTCAGCTTTGTTTTGGTAAAAATGCCACTATCATGTACATGTACATGTGTACATGTAGAGAGAGAGAGAGAGAGAGATGTTGTTTACTGAATGGTTCATTGATGTCCTTAAGGAACAGAAGATGGATGTGTGGCTTTAGCCAGAGGATTATACATGGGAATTGGGATATCCTGAGGTGAGAAAGAAGACACGGGGTTATTTTAAGGATCGGCTTGAAGACAGGTGTGGATAAGCACAAAACAAGTCATTGATCAGAGGTACACATGCTGAGTGTGTATTATTTAGGGTTTTCCCCACAATATTGTCTACCCTACATGTATGTTTATACTGGTATTTTGTCAACGTGGGTCCACTGTGATTTAGATCATTCACACGAGTTTGTGTGTATGCGGGTCAACTGTAGATTGGGATTTTACCTGTGTAGATTTTTAGACCTACAATGTAAGTAGTTCTACATGTAGCTGTGTAACATTCAGTGTCTCTGAACTTTACCTGAGTCTACATTGTAACTGGGAGATACCGGTAGGGCCTTCTGAATACACCTGCAAGCAATCAAAGGCAGGTGTACATGTACAAGCAGTCAAGCATGTACAGAAAATACAAGTAATCGTTATCAAACAGTAACAGTTGAAATGAAAAATTGTCATTTAGTCATACACACAATGAAATTCATTACACGGACACTACAATGTGTGTACACTGTTGTTCATGTATACAAAAAAAAGTACACAATGCAACAAAGATGTGCGTATTGTTGCAAACATGTATGAGGGTATTCACTTCTGTTTGAGATCACTCATTTCTGTACATTCTACATGTGTATGCATGTACATGAGAATGTACATTGAATAAGTCTGTGATTACAAGGTCATAACTTTTCTTTTGCATGTACATGTACAATGTATGTAGTGTAATTAATATGTGTACTCCAAAATGTGGTAAATAAGAGCACTGCTAAGCCTGTGTGCCAAGGTCAGTGTGAATACTGCAACAGTGCAAGTCTGTGCACCAACAAACCTACATTTGTACGTGAAGAGGTGAGCCATTTGAACTGTGAAATATGGCTTCCATAAGTTCAAGTTGGGGTCATGCATCACGCAGTGAAGTTCATATCCATTGGCAGTGTACGCAGGCCATTCTGCTAAAGAGTTTGTTAACCTTTCTGCCAACATGGTTTCAATGTGTACATCCATGTGTATGATGGGCAGGATCGAAATGCATCGTGATGTGATATGTGTGGCACCTTGGTACGTATACATGTACATTGTTGCATACATGGACACTAGTATGCACATTTTGTGACTTGGCATTGAGCTGATGTCACGGTTGCTTTGGTGAAGGCTAGTACAAATGATACAATGTGCAAATGTGTACAAATCTAGTTTTCACTGTACATTTTGTGTACATGTACACGTACATCAGTTATCACGGTTTAAGCCTACAAATCATACCAAAAAGTCCAAGATTACTTTGCAACATCTAATATTGAAACAACAGAGTACAGTGTATAAATCTAGTATACTCAACATGTACTTGGTACTGGTAAATGTAACTTGTACTAAAATCACGTCAAAACGTTAATAAAAACGGAAGAAAAACATGGGATTTCAACATCATTATATAAAAGGGTCTATCCTTTAGGCCTGTCTGTCAAATTTTAACAAAATTTTCCCAACTCATTTACAATTTGCATACAGGGTGGTTAAATTTGCTTAGCATTGGACATTTGTCACTACATTGTCATCACTCGAGAAAAATATAAAACGCATCTGTCTGTGATGAATGCAAAAATGTGCATTTGGGAAAGATGATGAAGTACATACATGTACATGTATGATGTACATGTACATGTACCGTAATACACACATTAAAAAATATACATTCACATGTACATGTACAGTCTGCATACGTGCTTTGTATACATGTACACTTTAACTGTACACACACAGTTGTACCATACGTATACACGTGTATTATATTATACATGTATTCAGTTATGTATGGTGGTGTGAGGTCATGTTCACAATAATTGTATAACCCAATTAAGCTGACCCTACAGTGTTGTCAACTTATGCTGTAGGAATTAATTAGTGCCTGCCTGCTGTGCTGCGTGCATTGCATCAATGTGGATTTTACATACGTAATGGGTCATATCAGAGTACAGGTACACATGACTACATGTACATGTACAATGTACCATTACATTGTGTGTAACTGGGTACATGTGTGATGTACATGTACAATAAAAACCTGAACGTGTGTTGTATTGTTGATTATTTTCATTGAGATATGGGGATTCCTTTTGGTACATGTACACGTACATGTATTACATGTACAGTGTACATGTTGTGTATTCAGTGATAACATTTACAAGTACCGGTACATGTAATGTACATTCAAACCTTTGTTACTCATTAAAGATCAATAATTCAGTGTTAAAGAAACTAAATGTTTGCTGATCTTAATCGAGATAAATGTGTGTGAATAATTTGCTTGAGTACATGTCAACATACAAACACGTAAGCATATACCGGTACATGTACATTTTCCCCTTCTGTTAACAACATTTCAGGCTTCAGAATGCCTTGTTCTGATCTATGGTACAAGGTTATCACTGCTTTTAGAGGCAACACTAAGGTTTTGTCCTTAAATGTTTCTCCCTCTCTCAGCCTGGAGCCTTGACTGTTATGTAATCTGTAATCACTGCAAGTAAATCATTTACAGTACATGTACTGTAATGTACATGTACATGTACATGTACTTGCACTATTTCCATACAAGGACATAGTTTGCTCTCACTAAACATTTGTTCGTTCTCTCCGGTGGAAAAACTGGTTTTTTTTACTGTCTCTGACAACAAAATATATTTGATAAAATTGATGTCAAAACAAAATTTCACCAGCAAAAATTTCATTTGTTGTTATGATTTTAGAACTGATGGGCGTATTCTTCTTGATTCTTGTCTCATTCTCATTTGGGCCAAAATGTTACTTAGGCTAGGACAAACAAAGCTGATCAACCTTCAAGTCCCTGTCTTAAGTTGCATCCAAATTGGTCTTGACTAGGGCCGGCAGTACACACGTGTCTATGGGTAATGGCTTCAGCCACTTCCATAGAGTGCATGTGTAATTGCAAGCCATAGCCAAGAAGATTGTACTTGACTATGGCTGGCAGTACACACCTGTCTATGGGTAATGGCTTCAGCCACTTCCATAGAGTGCATGTGTAATTGCAAGCCGTAGCCAAGAAGATTGTACTTGACTATGGCTGGCAGTACACACCTGTCTATGGGTAATGGCTTCAAACACTTCCATAGAGTGCATGTGTAATTGCAAGCCATAGCCAAGAAGATTGTTCTTGACTATGGCTGGCAGTACACCTGTCTATGGGTAATGGCTTCAGCCACTTCCATAGAGTGCATGTGTATTTGCAAGCCATAGCCAAGAAGATTGTACTTGACAATGGCTGGCAGTACACACCTTTCTATGGGTAATGGCTTCAGCCACTTCCATAGAGTGCATGTGTAATTGCAAGCCATAGCCAAGAAGATTGTACTTGACTATGGCTGGCAGTAACGCACCTGTCTATGGGTAATGGCTTCAGCCACTTCCATAGAGTGCATGTGTAATTGCAAGCCATAGCCAAGAAGATTGTTCTTGACTATGGCTGGCAGTACACCTGTCTATGGGTAATGGCTTCAGCCACTTCCATAGAGTGCATGTGTATTTGCAAGCCATAGCCAAGAAGATTGTACTTGACAATGGCTGGCAGTACACACCTTTCTATGGGTAATGGCTTCAGCCACTTCCATAGAGTGCATGTGTAATTGCAAGCCATAGCCGAGAAGATTGTACTTGACTATGGCTGGCAGTAACGCACCTGTCTATGGGTAATGGCTTCAGCCACTTCCATAGAGTGCATGTGTAATTGCAAGCCATAGCCAAGAAGATTGTTCTTGACTATGGCTGGCAGTACACCTGTCTATGGGTAATGGCTTCAGCCACTTCCATAGAGTGCATGTGTATTTGCAAGCCATAGCCAAGAAGATTGTACTTGACAATGGCTGGCAGTACACACCTTTCTATGGGTAATGGCTTCAGCCACTTCCATAGAGTGCATGTGTAATTGCAAGCCATAGCCAAGAAGATTGTACTTGACTATGGCTGGCAGTAACGCACCTGTCTATGGGTAATGGCTTCAGCCACTTCCATAGAGTGCATGTGTAATTGCAAGCCATAGCCGAGAAGATTGTACTTGACTATGGCCGGCAGTACACACCTGTCTATGGGTAATGGCTTCAGCCACTTCCATAGAGTGCATGTGTAATTGCAAGCCATAACCAAGAAGATTGGACGCAGCCTTAGCCAGTGTTTGCATTCAAACAAGATTAGTTTCCAATTGGATCAAGATTGCTATTTGTTTCATGTATTTACTGAAATGTCTTTTTCTTCTCAATTAGACAAAGATGGCAATCGGGTCACGACAGTCATGGCGACGTCGGGCGCTGTCTCAAACGCCAGACAAGAGGCCTGCAATGTGGAGATCTCGTACTCCGAAACCAAAATCATCGGCAATGGGTCGTTTGGTGTGGTACATCAAGCCAAGCTCACTGATACAGGAGAGATGGTTGCAATAAAGAAGGTCTTACAAGATAAAAGATTTAAGGTGAGAGGTTAAAGGTCATTCAGGAACCTTTCCTTTATGAGTTGGTAACTTGCTTTTATCAGTAAGTTTAACAGTGTTTGGATTGAACATGTGGGATCATTCTTTGATTTCAGATGTTATTCACCGAATCTGTCTTTCCTCAACATTCTAAATTTTGCTTGTGCTTGCGTTATTAAACTTGATTTATCATGGTCAATCTTCTGTATTCTGTTGTAAAGCAATGGTTGATGTTGTAAGATCCGGTACGATGAAGTAAAGGTCTTCCCTCATACTGTGAAACTTCTTGCCAAGATCTTGCTTTACACTTCTTGTAACTTGTCACAGATGAAACAAAATACATGTACAGTGAAATCTTGACAAGTCAAACCTCAAGGGAACAGGTTTAAAATTCAACTTAAGCAGAGTTTTGACTTAAGCAGGGTTTTAAATCATTGTTATACTACTGAAGGCAATGGATTCTTTGTTTGACTTAACAGCTGTTTTGAGTTATCAGAGTTTGACTTACCGACATTTCACTGTATTTACAGATTCCTTCTTTCTCACCACTTTGAGTGGGCCTTGGACTCATGGTTATAGATTTTTAAAAAATATCATTGTTTCTGTGAATAGAATCGAGAGTTGCAGATCATGAGAAAGCTTGAGCACTGCAATATCGTCAGGCTGAAATATTTCTTCTACTCCAGTGGTGAAAAGTCCAGCGGCTCGGGAAAGGTAAAGTACAATTTCAATTCTGCATCTGGGAGTTTTTCCAAGGCCTTGAAAACTATGACACGTTAACCATTTCCTTTTTCCTAAACCAGTGCATGATGAATCACAAGGCAGATTGTATAGATGACAGGCATGCTGTAGGTCAATGTTGTATGTATGAGTTCAATGTCAGGCGGATTACAGCATTGTGGGAATGGGAGAAGTGGGTCATGCTAAGTACAGGTGGGAAGGTCAGATAGCTGGGGTGAGCTTTCCCTGGGAATGGGAACATTGTACACTGTCTGTAGTAGGTGAACTGATGGAAATAGACTGTATGCATTATGGGTGTTTCTGCTGGTGCTCTTGATTTTATTTGGTAACAATGTACAAAAATGTTTACCATGCCTACCTTAAACTCCACACAATACATGTACATACATGTACACGTATGTAAAGTCTATTGTGTCATACATTGTCATTGTACCGGCACATGCATGCCAATAATCTCAAGCCTATCTACATTGTATCTTACATTTTTTGTTTTTGCAGCTTTTTTGGGGTTCCTTTTTCTGTTGCTTAGTTTTGTTCCATTCTGGTCTTTCTTGTCATTTATTTATACTTTTCTGTCTCCTTTTTTTTGTCTGACAGCAGAAAGATGAGGTGTATCTGAATCTAGTGTTGGAGTACGTTCCAGAGACAGTGTATAGGGTAGCGAGACATTACAGCAAAAACAAGCAGACGATACCAATATTATACGTCAAGGTAAGGCCTGTGTAATTGACCATTGCCATGTCATAGTATCATGGAAACACAGGCAGTGATCTCTTGGAAGCCATTTTGTGTCCAACTTAAGACACCATGGCATACTGTGTCTTGATTTTAAAGAGTCAATATATTATCATGGTACCGCTTAGTGTGGGCAACGATCTCTTTGAAGCCATTTTGTGTCCAACTTAAGACACCATGGCATACTGTGTCTTGACTTTAAAGAGGCAATATATTATCATGGTACCGCTTAGTGTGGGCAACGATCTCTTTGAATCCATGTTGTGTCCACCTTAAGACACCATGGCATACTGTGTCTTGATTTTAAAGAGTCAATATATTATCATGGTACCGCTTAGTGTGGGCAACGATCTCTTTGAATCCATGTTGTGTCCAAATTAAGGTACCGATACCACTGAGAATAGGTCTTCGATGGAAATTGTTGAAACGTAAACTGTGCAAGTTTGATCAAGAAACATTGGTCACCTAGTTGATAAGTAAGTTACACCTGCCAGCTTTTAGCAATGTGTGAATGTCTCTAGTCAAACACTGATCAAAATGTCACCACAAAACGTCTTGATCATGGCTGCCTGCTGTGCAACATGATGCAGATAGCTATTGCAACCAACGATGTGACCAACCTTGGAATAGCCACTAGACTACCAGTAGATACGCTGTGGGCTTGAGTGAATTAGTCCATCTCTGGTTAGCCATAGTTCCTGCTGTGCAATATGATGCAGATATTGCAACCAAGGAAGTGACCAACCTTGGACTAGCCACTAGACTACCAGTAGATACACTGTGGGCTGGAGTGAATTAGTCCATCTCTGGTTAGCCATAGTTCCTGCTGTGCAATATGATGCAGATATTGCAACCAAGGAAGTGACCAACCTTGGAATAGCCACTAGACTACCAGTAGATACACTGTGGGCTTGAGTGAATTAGTCCATCTCTGGTTAGCCATAGTTCCTGCTGTTACCTGCTGGAGGCAGTAGTAAATGGCCATGGACACAGACATGTTTGTGGGTGGGAGAACATTAAACTTCCCACACGTAACCTATTTGACCTTGCTCAGTTATGCTATAAATTGTGTATAGGTGGAAGTGGAATCCCACCTGATGCAATCCTATGCACCACACAATGGATGAGTGGGTAGCATGTATTAGTGTCTGTGGTAACAAAGGAAATGTATGATGTATGGGAAATGATCTGTGCAATTATTTCCTTTTGTTTCTCATATGGGTTACACCTCATAGCAGTCACTGCACGTCACTGTGATTATTCTTTTCTGAATCACCTTCTGAATCAGTCAAGATAATGGTTATATCGGCTGCAGCATAGTCTCGTGGCCTGATGAATGGGGAACTAATTGTAAAGTGCTTTGAGATTGTTGATATGATGGAAAACACGATATAAACATTGCAATTTATGTTTTATTTATATGTTTATATTTGAAGTTTGTGTCAATATAAGAACATTTTGCAATGATCATTAATCATAATACCCAGTCCTTCAGCTTGTAGATTTTTTATCAGAAGTGATATATTTCATAATGGAACTCTCAGAATCTTTTTGTAATTCACGTAAACTTGAGCCCATGGAAAGCTGAGGCATCATGATACCAGTTATTGAAAAGTCTAGTTAGTACACAAATCCTCCCATATGCTACTCCTTTCATTTGCATGAACAATTTTCCATTGGAATTTAAAGGGGATGTTTGTCAATTTTAAAAGTCAATATTTAACGCAACAGCATTAAGCAAACTTGCATTTTACTGTACAAAGATTACAAGAGACTTTAGTTTGGATATTTTTATTTTCTTTTTTCCCCAGTTGTACATGTACCAGTTATTCCGCAGTCTAGCCTACATTCATTCTCTAGGAGTCTGCCATCGAGATATTAAGCCACAGAACTTGCTCTTGGATCCAGAATCAGGGGTACTTAAACTGATAGACTTTGGAAGGTAGGAATATTTGCAGTTGGATATTTCAGTGGAATACTAGTGTGATGGAGTAGTTGCAAAGTTGTGGTTTAAGACTGACCCAGATCAAAGGTGACAGGTGTTATCAGCTGCCAGGCCTATAACATGTTATAAAGCCAAACCACACCTGCATTCTCGTTCTTAAATACCTGTTGGGTTTCAAAAAACAAATAAGTATGAGAACATTTTGTACCACCTGTCATATTTCTGAAAGCAAAAATGAATGTGTCAAATGTTGTAGAGTGCATTAGTAAATGACAGAATATGACAGTCTGTACACCACAGTTCCATATAGATTGTGGGTGTTTGTTTTGTCTTTGCAAGAATTGTGTTTAAATTCACCCTCGAGAGACCGTTATTTCAATAACCCCAACCACGGACAACCCTTCAAAATCCAACTGCACGTTTTGTTGGAATCTGTTGGAGAGAGTACTGCACTAGTAAACTGATGATGCTTTACATGGGGTCAGACATACCACCATAATCAGAGTCCAACAGTTTGGGTGTTGAGTTACCATATGGTGTTGGATTTTGCAAGAATGAGGAAGGTTCCTGGTAACTCACTCAAGGGGGTTAGGGTTAATGTGTTTATGAGTTTTGATATATGTGTTTGTACAATGTGGTGTTGTTTTTTTCTGCAGTGCAAAACAACTAGTACCAGGTGAGCCTAATGTATCTTACATCTGCTCAAGGTACTACAGAGCACCAGAACTCATCTTTGGTGCCACAGACTACACATGCAATATAGGTAAGCTAGTAAGTTACACACATTTCAAAGTCAGCATTCCAGAGTCAGGCTGAACTAAATTGTGTTTCAGATTTCAATTATGTTTGACGTTTATTTTACTTAAACACGAAAGTTGTCAAACGATAAACTGTTGTAGTCACTCAGTCTAGTCAATGGTAATTTATATAAAGTTTGCGTGACTGAAACTACTTTATTTGAGTCAATCAAAGTTGTTCCTAATACTTTTGGTTTCAGCAAAGGCCACCTTTGACGTGATACCTGACCACACATTACATGTATTCTGTGCTTTAACTTGATGTCATTACACATATTAACTGATACTCAACCAGGCCCAATTTCATAGTGCTGCTTAACAGTAAGCAGAAAAGTTATATTAACTATAACAGAAAATGAATGGAGATTTGTTTATTGTTTCATCACCAATTAACCAACTTGTTCCTCAAAGGTAAGCATGCCTATTGGGTGATTACTGCTTACAGTCTCAGATTGTGTGCTTAGCATTTACAACTTATATTTCTTTTATGTGCATAGATGTATGGTCAGCCGGCTGTGTCCTAGCTGAATTACTCCTGGGTCAGCCAATATTTCCTGGGGATAGCGGAGTGGATCAACTAGTAGAAATCATCAAGGTTCTAGGCACTCCGTCACGGGACCAAATCCATGAAATGAATCCCAACTATACAGAGTTCAAATTCCCACAGATAAAACCTCACCCATGGAACAAGGTAAGCACCGACATACGGTAAGGCTGTTTCACACAATCGTTTCACCTACATGTACCCAGGTTGATACTTTACAAATGACTTGAAATTTGACTTGTAATGGACATGACTGAATCAGTTTTAACAAACATGTAAAATAATGTGCCTTTCTGAAAAGCATAAACTCAGTAGATAGTGATGCTGCAAGAGCGGCACGAGTCTTACGTACTCAACACTGTATTAAATGGCTCATAGCAAGGCAGGTGTGTTACAGAACTGTGGAGAGCTGCTGCCTGATTAAGAGATGTAGTTGGAATATATCTTGCTTAGGAACAGTAATGCTGAAGATAATACCAGACTTGTATGACTCGTGACTCAAACTCGAGTCCGACTCGAGTCACATTTTTAATGACTCGGACTCAGACTCGAGTCACTTTGACTTACGACTCGGACTCGGACTCAGGGCTGTGGACTCGGACTCGAAGTGACTTGTGACTCGACGGAAATTACCGCACTGCACATGCGCACATACGTAAGTCGATCGTTTTCTTTACTGTGCAATACATGTACAGGGCGCTCGATGCGGTGCGTGCGTGGCCGTGGCCGGTTACCGATATATTGATTACAGAAATCAATGTACCGAAACTTGTACCCCGCCGTCCGCACGTAATACTGCATTGGTGCAAGATTGATAGGGTAAGGTACCAGACTTTTCTTGTCAGACGTCCTGTTGTTCACACGTGTATTGCTGTCGCATCGTGATAACGCGATATGAATAGTCTGCTGATCTGCCCGTTTCGGTAACGTTACATGTAGATCATGATGACATCCACTCCAAAAATTGTCAATTTTTGGTATCTTAACTTCAAGAGAAATGCCAATGGAAGATCAAGTGCAGAATGCAAGTTCTGCAAGAGGAAAATAGAGGAGAAAACCGGCACTACGTCAAACTTCGATCGCCACCTTTTACTATATCAAAGGTGACTCTGAATCTCTGAATTCCCTAAAATGTACGTTTTTCCAATGCAATGTTAGAGGTGACTCGTGACTCGGACTTGGACTCGACCTTTGTGACTCGTGACTCGGACTCGGACTCGACCTGGAGGACTTGGGACTCGGACTTGGACTCAAGAAATGTGACTCGGACTCGGACTTGGACTCGATGTTTCGTGACTCGAATACAAGTCTGGATAATACTACATTGTATGTTTCTAGACCACAAGACAACCGATCCCTAACCCTAACTGACATACTTGTAAACAATATGGTAAGGCCTTGAATATTAAACTATATAGATCTGAATCAAATGAGGTTTTGCCCTTCACCAACGTGTAAACACTGTATACTCAGTGTGTTACCTCCCGAGTGAAAGTTGGAAAAATTCACTCGGGTGGGACTCAAACCCACGACCTCCTGCTTTCTAGTGCAGATGTCTTGCCACTCGAGCACCTAGCTAACAGGGTCGGTTGGCTGGTTCGAATCTGATGTACATAACAGCGGGTACATCAGATTCGAACCAGCCAACCGATCCCGTTAGCTCGGTGGTCGAGTGGGAAGACATCTGCACTAGAAAGCAGGAGGTCATCTAATTTGATTTATATCACCCCGACGCAAAAAAAATCTGCCTTGTAATATAGATCTGCTTTGTGCACAACCCCTGTGCCGGTATTCTGGCCATGCATTACTTCTGATGCTATTGATCTCCGTAGCAAGTTGTAACATTCCTTTATCCCTGTGCAGGTATTCTGGCCTAGCATTACTTATGATGCCATTGATCTCCGTAGCAAGTTGTAACATTCCTTTATCCCTGTGCAGGTATTCCGGCCTAGCATTACTTCTGATGTCATTGATCTCCGTAGCAAGTTGTAACATTCCTTTATCCCTGTGCAGGTATTCCGGCCTAGCATTACTTCTGATGCCATTGATCTCCGTAGCAAGTTGTAACATTCCTTTATCCCTGTGCAGGTATTCCGGCCTAGCATTACTTCTGATGCGATTGATCTCCGTAGCAAGTTGTAACATTCCTTTATCCCTGTGCAGGTATTCCGGCCTAGCATTACTTCTGATGCCATTGATCTCCGTAGCAAGTTGTAACATTCCTTTATCCCTGTGCAGGTATTCTGGCCTAGCATTACTTCTGATGTCATTGATCTCCGTAGCAAGTTGTAACATTCCTTTATCCCTGTGCAGGTATTCCGGCCTAGCATTACTTCTGATGCCATTGATCTCCGTAGCAAGTTGTAACATACCATTATCCCTGTGCAGGTATTCTGGCCTAGCATTACTTCTGATGCCATTGATCTCCCTAGCAAGTTGTAACATTCCTTTATCCCTGTGCAGGTATTCCGGCCTTGCATTACTTCTGATGCCATTGATCTCCGTAGCAAGTTGTAACATTCCTTTATCCCTGTGCAGGCATTTCGGCCTAGCATTACTTCTGATGCCATTGATCTCCGTAGCAAGTTGTAACATTCCTTTATCCCTGTGCAGGTATTCCGGCCTTGCATTACTTCTGATGCCATTGATCTCCGTAGCAAGTTGTAACATTCCTTTATCCCTGTGCAGGTATTCCGGCCTTGCATTACTTCTGATGCCATTGATCTCTGTAGCAAGTTGTAACATTCCTTTATCCCTGTGCAGGTATTCCGGCCTTGCATTACTTCTGATGCCATTGATCTCCGTAGCAAGTTGTAACATTCCTTTACCCCTGTGCAGGTATTCCGGCCTTGCATTACTTCTGATGCTATTGATCTCCGTAGCAAGTTGTAACATTCCTTTATCCCTGTGCAGGTATTCCGGCCTTGCATTACTTCTGATGTCATTGATCTCCGTAGCAAGTTGTAACATTCCTTTATCCCTGTGCAGGTATTCCGGCCTTGCATTACTTCTGATGCCATTGATCTCCCTAGCAAGTTGTAACATTCCTTTATCCCTGTGCAGGTATTCCGGCCTTGCATTACTTCTGATGCCATTGATCTCTGTAGCAAGTTGTAACATTCCTTTATCCCTGTGCAGGTATTCCGGCCTAGCATTACTTCTGATGCCATTGATCTCCGTAGCAAGTTGTAACATTCCTTTACCCCTGTGCAGGTATTCCGGCCTTGCATTACTTCTGATGCTATTGATCTCCGTAGCAAGTTGTAACATTCCTTTATCCCTGTGCAGGTATTCCGGCCTTGCATTACTTCTGATGCCATTGATCTCCGTAGCAAGTTGTAACATTCCTTTATCCCTGTGCAGGTATTCCGGCCTTGCATTACTTCTGATGCCATTGATCTCCGTAGCAAGTTGTAACATTCCTTTATCCCTGTGCAGGTATTCCGGCCCAGGACTCCGTCTGATGCCATTGATCTCTGTAGTAAACTCCTGGAGTACACACCGTCTTCTAGGATATCGCCTCTTGATGCTTGCTCCCACAAATTCTTTGATGAGCTTCGAGACCCGGGTACTAGGTTACCCAATACGCGGCCTCTTCCACCGTTATTCAACTTCACCGCACAGGGTAGGTGCAGTAAACTCAACACCTTCACTCAGGCTTTCTAATGGGAGTTTGGTGGCACTCGTCCCCACCTTGCTCCCGTGGAAAAGCGCACATGTGAACAAAGCATGAGATCATTATTTCTCAGGGCTATTGTACTTGGTAGTGGTGGCCGCCTGGCCGATAGTGGCAATAATGAACAATTGCGTTATCAAACAATCTTTGGTTGTCCCCATTGTGTTCTATTTAGTAGTGTTCTACTGTAAAATGGTTGATACTGCTTAAGATCTGTTGGAATCATCAATATCAGTGAAGGACATTTTTCCCAAAATCTAAATTTCCCCGTCCCTTGTATGCGCTATTTTTTGAATGGATGAACAGTTCATGTGTACAAGCTAATACTCCATAATCCCCATAGTGTTTGTTGACATAGAAACCCTTGCAAATTCTAGCTCATGGCCTATGTAACATCAGTTTCAAGGTTTATAATGTACCGTAATTTGTTCTTTAAATTTTGTTTTTAACAATTTGCATTTTGTTTGGCACGTTGTGTTTCTCATTGAAACTTAACTATGTCCATTTTGTGTCTGCTTACAGAACTAGCAATCAAACCGTCACTCAATGACATTCTTATCCCGCCACATGCGCGGAGAGATCCAGTCAGCTCATCTCAGGGAACCAGTGAAAGTACAGCCACTACTAGTTCGGCAGGGTTACCGATCAGTGGGGCCATAGGAGGTGGGAACTAAACCAACTCCGCCCCCTAAGTAGTGACCTCTCCAAGCGCCCTAAGGTACACTTGTAGCACAAAGCAGGGGTTTTAGATATTCTGGGTTCATTTGTGTACTGTCTGATGTTGAAGGAATGTACATGGTAAACTAGTTACTGCAGGAATTTACCAGTTTATCTTGTGATAAACCATGGTTTAAAAAACAACTAGCCGAATTGAATGTCATCAGGTTGTATTTGCCCTGCTGTTTAAACTTCAGTGTTGACTGTTTACAGGTTAATCTGGTGTTCGCTGGTTAAATTTGTATTGATCCAGATTAAAATGACTGCAGTTTAGCCAGGTAGCAATGGTTAAAGCATGGGTTACAGTTGAGTATTCTGGTTTAATACCTGCAGTATGTCCAAGTATGTGCTAATATTTAATCCATCAATCACTTCAACATCAGATAGTGTACAGAGGATGGAACTCCCTGTAACTTAAGTATTTCAATATGTGTACAGATCAGATAATTAAGGAATCCTTGTAAAATATTCCCTGTTGTTATATACAAAGTCTCATATTAATGATGGGGCTAAAAATAGGTGTCAATAATCATCCAAGAATCATATCTTAATTTATTGCTCAGAATGTGGCTTTTTTTTTTTTTAGAATATCCTGCTTCCAGTCTCAGATTGTGGGTCATGTGGCATGCAGAGAAATGCTGCCACAATGAGTTTAAAAGCCAGCATTATAAAAAAAAACAAATGAAGGAAAACATGATCCAACTTTCATCAGTTGTTGCTGAATAAAATTGACTCTTTTGGCTTTCTGGGATACACAGCGTGTTTTTGGATATTAGTTGCACTTGTTTTTAGCCCATGTACAGGATTGGGACGTCATATGTCCCTTTAAATTAAGACCATCGTTAGGGGAAGAATGAGGAATAGAGATGTCTGGTGTAACTTCTGACAGGTGCCAACATTGCAAAATAACCTGCTAACATCTCAGTTGATTGTAAATTGATTACCCAAAGAAAACGTGTACAGTGGCTTGAATTGTCCCTCTCATTTTGTACCATTCCTGAGATCTGATATATTTCTGCTATGAAAATCTCGAGATAAAACACTGGATATCCTATTCCTCATTCTTTCCTTGTGACCTTCTTCCAACTAGTATTCCCAGTAAACCCGATGTTCATTTTGTAAAATGGACAATCTGTACATATAGTTTGGATTATTGTATTATTTACTTCGTCATATCTGTGTACTGATCTCAATATTCTTTTTCCCAGTTTCCTTTGGTAACCATAGTGAAGTTCAAACTGTAAATCCCCCTTCCCCAACTTTGTACTTCAAGTTCAAAATAGATGATTGAATATAACCAGGAGTATACTATTGTAATGATCATTTGAATTGGATCAGTTTGAAGTCAGGATCTTGAATTCTGTGGCATTGTTTGTCCTTTGTTCACAATACTATGTCACACCATTCTAATGAATACTTGAGCTGAGACTTAAGCGTGGTGTGCATTATCTGTTCCACATGTTCCAACTGAATTGCTCACAGATTATACTGATTCACTACAGTGTTTTGTTTGCAAAGTGCCAGTGCCTGTATAATATTCATCTCAATAGTTTGATTTTTAATAGGTCCCTACTGTGAATGTAAGAATGTGATGTCTGTTGTTGTTACACCTTTGGTTTGTGGGTTGGCTGTTCTGTTGATCATTAGTGTGATTCCATTGTCTAGTCATTGTTTACTTATAGCTGCAACCCTGCAAAAATCTGAACATTTTGTCCATCAATTTTTTAAATAGATTTGAATGGATGTTGGTCCAAATCAATGGTCAATATTGGAGACATTGAGGTTGTACAAGAGACAAAAGGCAACACTAGCCAATCAAACTCGTTGTTATATGAAGGAAGAAAACAAATTCAACCAATAACAGATCTTGATATGTATGATTTTGGAGAGCATCAGATCTCTTGCATCAAAAGTATTCTCCCTTTTGGAACCTTTTTTATTTTATTAAATGTCAATTTTTAGTAGTTTTTGCACACTCAAATTTGAAAAAATGTGAACAAGGTCTCGTAGTCTCCAAAAACAACATCTAAAACAGATTTTGAAGATTGTAAGATGTTCAATTTTTATCGTGTAAGATTTAAGGTTGAGAGACGAAATTGTGGAAAATTTGAACAATTTTTAAACGTGTGTCTTGTATTTTTAATGACTGAGCCGTGAATATTGTGTCTGAAGCCCTCCTCTAGTAAGAAGTGGCAATTTTCTGTTTTTAATTGATTTTTGTTCATGTTTAAGTCCATTTATATCGTTGTTGGAAAGTCAAAGACTCCACCATACAGTGAAAACCATTTCCGTAACAATGGCAACCATTTAGTTAGTAACGAGGCAGGAAGTTTATACTGTGTGTGTACCATTGAATGTCGAAATACTACTATCAGCCCATTTCTGTTAGTTGGTCAGACTTCGAATCTGAGACAAATGTTTGAATATATCTTTCTATGGGAGCCTTTACAGCATTAATGGCACAGTGATTTGTAAATTTGTACAGTCAAGGGGGCTATTTTTTAGTTATTCTTTTATTCTTTAGAAAAGTGTAAATTATTGAGTTGATTTCTTAAGGAATCTTATGAACTCGGATGTGATTGGCCTTGTGTTTTGGAACAAGGCAGTTTCACATCCAAGTTGTCCTATTTTCCTTTTGTTCAGTGATTTGTTGATGATTAACTCAGTTTTGTAAATCATAATTTCTTAACACACACACACACCATACACCCCACCATTTGTAGTTGCTACGGATAAATGCTTGTTGTCCTTAGCAACAAAGTTGCCATGGTGATTGGCGATATCCATGCAAAGTAGTTGTCTGAAAGTATCTATAGATAAACATGTGAACATGAATAAAACAAGCCTACCGTGTAAAGAAACTCCCAACTTCATCTTCGTCACGTCTTATTTTTGTGTCCCCTTTAAAAAATGTTTAACGTGGACTCCCATTTTAGCATTGGCACTGTTTTAAGGTAAATTATTGATGAAATGCACTTTTTTAGCAACAGTGATTTTTCAGAAGATTTAAGATAAAAATATCATTATGTAGTAGACGTCACGTGAAATGGAGTCTCGTGAACTTACAAGGAAAGTACACGTTTAGATCAAAAGAGCCACACTAACTGATTGATTTCTGGAAGAGACATGAAGCATGTATTGCTTACAATGCTGGTGTTACATTGTCATATTTGTAAGCATTATTTGTAGGCATATTTGTAAGATATGTTGCATCTAAAATTGCTTTAATTTTTTCCTAAGAACCCCCCTTCCTATGCCTCGAGCCCTGCCCCTGCCTAGTGCCTGCTTTGCCCAAGCTATTGACATGTCATGAGTTCTGACATTTGTACATTTTACGACAGTGGTTCAATAGACCATTGCCATGTTGCAGTTGTCTTGAGTTTTCCCATTCAAATCAACGTAACCAAAGTGAGGCTGGAAGGAAAAATAGTCTGGTTCCTTTTTGCACAAAATGAAAATGGTGGCAGCACTGCATGATAAATGTTTATTTACTTCAGGGTTACGCTCAATGGTCGTGGCTACAGACTTTCTTACATCAAGGGAATATCCTTTAGTTTGTGCTTGATTGAAGAACCATTGGCCAACAAGAGTATTTTGGCATGTCAATGTTGTAGTCTTCTACTCATGGTTTCATATGCTCTATTTGGAAACCAGTAATAGAAGTCAACCTACATGTAGGGCTTTATTGAATGGACTACTTGTTCTAAACAAGTGCTATCTGAGGTTTTTCTGAAATGAAGGTCCAATTCTAATTGGGTACTCGATTAAATACCAAAATTGAACGACTCTAAATTTGAAATGGTTTTCTTCATTTCCCCGACCACCCCCCCCCCAAAAAGAAATATATTGATTTCATATCTGAAAGTGTCTGCCTGTGAAAGATTTGTTCAAAACTTGATATTACACATATAGTTTTTTTCTTGTTTGTACAGATTATGCATATATAGATCCCTGTATGGTGTAGGTCATATGAACATAACTTTAACATTTTATCCTTTTTTTTTATTAGTAGTTTTGAGATTTTTTGCTGGTACATTTGTGAAATTGGTCTTCCACATGTAATTGTGAATTTCAAGAAGTTGGGTGTTTTGACCCAAGCAAAAAATAATCATGTGGCTTTTGTTTTTAGGAAAAGAAAATCTGCATATGTGATTGTTAATACAGGAATGCAAGTACAATGTGCTGACATTCTTTTTACTTTCTGAGTGACTGGTCTATAGATTTATTTCATATTGACTCTGCAGAAAAAGTAGATAATGACTAAGAGTGCCATCAATTCACTGGCATTAGAAAACTCAAGGAGTGTGCTAATTTTTTGAATTTGTTCATTTAGTATCATCAGCATAAGGCAGAAACACTTATTAGGGTCTGCACAAAATGACATTAGCACTCATGTACATGTATGGTATCAGTTTCTCACGAGCACTTAAAGAAAAGAAATCAGTCTGCTATCATCTCATCCATTAAACATGTTTGATGCTTCAAAAATGGTGTCCGTATACTTGGGTTTTGACTTTCATTTCATTGTTAATTTTTCTTTGAATTTTAAAAGGGAAACAATAGTATATGCCTTGTGCACTGCAAGCACCCTAGAGGATGTTTGTTGTTTTCATTTAGTTACAATGAATGCACCAATGGTTTACTCATGTCTGTCCTAAATGCGAGGTCCGCTCATAAGTCCGACGCCTCATAGTTCCGACGCCTCATAAGTCCGACATTTTGGACTTATGAGGCGTCGGACTTATGATAATAAATTCCACTTCATAGGTCCGATGCTGCATAAGTCTGCCACCTCATAGCTCCGACACCACAAGTCCAAAACGGCATTTGTCCATTGTCAGACTTATGAGGTGTTGGACTTAGAAGGCGTTGGACCTATGAGGCGAAAATTATGCCTCATAAGTATGAGGCGTTGGACTTACGATACGGCCCCCTTAAATGCATAAGGTAGATCTTTTTGCTTGTTGCTATTTAACCTGGTAGTTAAATGCAGGTGCCTCTCGCATGTAGATGCAAAATGTGTTACTAATGTTCAGGTTTCTGTCGGCTAATATTTTGGAATTTGTAGCTTCCGTGGGCTCAGGAAAAAATTAAATCACTTGTTTTATCGTCACACGACTGTTTCCAAGTCCTTTTTCCTTTTCCTTTTTTTGGGGGGAGGGGGAAGGGGTTTACTGGGTTTTTTTCTTCTGACTTTCCAAGTGTCATTTATGAAAAAGAATTGTGTTATCTTGCCTTTCACAATTTTAACTAGAATGAAAAGAGATTGTTTTTGATAAACTAGAAGGAAATGTACTTGTTACTTTTAACTTTAGTGATAGGAATATTCTTTGACATACTCGAAGTTAGCACTGGAATTAAGCATGGAAATCTGGTGCAGATGTATTTTTTGTGACAACTGATTCTTTTCATTAAGATATAAAATGTGAAATGTGTGATGTAAAATAATTTCATCTTCATAAAATATAAAAAGATTATCTGTGAATAGCTTTGTGATAAAAATGATAATACAGGCATGTATGTCAGGGGAAAGCAAAGAACAATTGGTATTTTTCCTGTTTTAAAGGAGAAATTTCAAATTTGCCATAAGGTCCTGAATATGCCTATGTGTACAGTCATATGAATGTAAACGGAGTGTATTTATACATTTCAAGGTTTAATTGTTTAAAAATCTGTGACTTTGTGCAAGTAGTAGACTGGCTGAAGTCTGTTCAGCATTTTAGTACCGGCAAACAATGTGACCTGTGAATTAGGAACATAATCGCAAGGTTTTAAAATGCATTTATTTTAACAAAACAAAACTTAGAAATTCTCACCATATTTCTCAGCATTGCTCTTGTAGAATGTGTTTATTGTGACCTGTCTGCATCATGTTTATGTTCCTGTTCCATGTAGTAACAATGTACATACTGCTGTGATACATGGTGCAGAAAATTGTCTGTACACCAGAAATACCTCTGAATCTTAAAAGATTTTAGACGTAACTGAACCTGTAAGAAAATAAGCTTGTGGAGGAAATGTGAGACTGGTGGAAGTCTAGTATATGTGTGATGGCATGTTGCCATAGAAACAGTCATCATGTGGTTGTTACCGGTATCTTGGTGTTTCCTTTGTTTATGTTGCTCAAAGTGAGGCTTCTAAAATCAACTTAGGCTGGTGCCTGTTTTATAGTGAGCTGCCTTGTGATTTGTACAATGACCGCGAGATACCTGACCGACATGGCAAGCTATTGTATATTGGTTTCGGCTAGCCCAAGTGTATGTACACAATTCCTTGTACAGATTACAATTCACAGTTTACTAAAAACTTGTTGACTCTCTGTTAATTTTTGTTGTAAAAAAAAAACAAGATACAAGTATTATGGGTAACTTTCCAGTAAAAAAATCTAACAGCGCTTAAGACAATTTAAATATTATTAAGATGATGTTTGTGATGTTTAAATATGGCTTTTAGTAGATGGCACTTTGAAATTCTTTTTATAAATCTGAGTAAATTCCTCGAAAGTCATTCACAAGTTCTTTGTTTTGCTACTCAAATGAACGTTGACAAAGGCATTCCTTTGTCCTTGTTATGAGTGAGTCATGCTACTTGTGATGTGACTTATGATGGACTTGCCTTCAATTCTGTTGAAGATGCATTCCCTGTGCTATTTTCAAGTTTCATCCTAAAAAATTGGTTCCTTGTCTAAATTGCTATTTTGTCTAGGAATACACAAGTAATTCACTTTTGAATGACACACCAACTGACAAAAATAGGCACCTGTTTAGTTGTTGAATTATTACTGTACAATTCCGAGTTATTGGCTGCCAGACAATAATTCCCCTTCTCGCGAGGAGGCCGATTCCTGCCCCACAATCAGTATCGATAATGTATGGACTGGGAGCCAGTCTACTGGCAAAGCGGATCTCTTTGTGTCCAAAACAAAATGTGTTTTTTTTTTCAGTGGAATAAAACAAACAAGTTTGTTGAAAATGTATTAGTAGAAGCAAATAGAATTTGTTGAAGATCATAGGGAATGCAACTTGAAGCACGAGAACCCATATCCATTTCTCTGCTGTCATTTCTCCAAGACCCTAGTTGTACAGTGCACCTTGTGGCTATGTCAAGCCACAGTTTGTGAAGTCCAGATTAAGAATTGTACAGTTATAAATAATTATTGTGGACAACAACAAAATGTGGATTCCTGTTTACGATATTGCACTTTGAATATGATGAATGATTTAATTGATATATGTCCATAGAGGTAGCGCAACAATCACACAACTTGTACAGTTTGTTATTAAAATATAAAAAGTAAGACACTCACCCCTCAAAACTTCCCTTAATCCCCTATAAACTGTAATGGAATCTTCCATTTTTCATTGTGATATATGGTGGTCTATTACAGTTCTGAGCAAACATGGGGATGGGGAAAGTGATGAAGGGTGAATGATGTTTTTAACAGAAAAGCAATTGTGTCATTGTTCTGTGTGATTTCATTTTGTGACACACGTTATTGACCTCAATGTTTTGAAACCACACAAAATCAGAATCTAGAAAATCATAATTTTATGTAATGCCAGATAATTATGACGTCTGAAAATTATACAGACTGACAAAACTGATGAAGTAATCATTACCTCATGATGCGAAATGGTTGACATTCAGATGGGAAATCTTTCAGAGGGCATACAAATACTTTCCAATATAATTTGATCCATAAATAGTGATAAAAGTTGTTCCGTTTTGTCTCAGTAACTGACTGTCACTTGTGAATTAGACTGGTTACCTATCTCACTGACTGACTGGCTCTTATGATTTAGACTGGTTACCTATCTCACTGACTGACTGTCACTTGTGAATAAGACTGGTTACCAACCTGGACTCCA